TCTTGGCATTTAATTATGATGTGTCTGGGAGTGTGCCTGTTTGGGTTCTTCTTGCTTGGGGCTCTCTGTGCTCTCTGGATTTTTCCTTTACCAGGTTAGAGAAGTTTTCTGCCATTATTTCTTCAAACACTTTCTCTATTCCTTTTTCCCTTTCTTTCTCTTCTGGCACACCTGCTATTTGAATATTGTTATGTTTCATTGTCCCACAGCTCCCTTAAGCGGTCCTCTTGTTTTTTAATTGTTTTTTTTTCTTTTTGATTCTCTGATTGAGTGATTTTTCTCAACCCTGTCTTCTAATTTACTGATTTGATCCTCAGCTTCCCCTAATCTGCGATGTATTCCTTCCAATGTGTTCTTTATTTGTGCCATGTCATTCTTTATTTCTGTTTTCATAGTTACTATAACTTTTCTCACACTGTTGAGTATCTTTACCATCATTATTCTGAACTCTGTTATCAGAAAAATGCCTTATCTCCATTTCATTTCTTCTTCTGCAGAATTCTCTTGTTCTTTCATTTGCAGGTTGTTTTTTTGTCTCCTCATTTTGGCTGCCTATTTGGGTTTGTTTCTGTATTAGATCTACCATGCCTCTCAATCTCTAGTGCAGGGCAGTGCCGAATGCTTTTTCTGATTAATTAGATCAGGCAAAGATTCAAAGCCTCCAGACACCACCTCTTTCTACAGACTGATAGGATTTGTCTTGAATTGCCCTCAAGCAATCATCCACAGGTGTGGCAAGAGTTCTTTTCAACATGGTGGTGCAATTACTTCTGCCTCAAATTCTTTTTTTATTTTTATTTTTAAAATATATTTTATTGATTTTTTACAGAGAGGAAGGGAGAGAGACAGAAAGTTAGAAACATCGATCAGCTGCCTCCTGAAAAATCCCTACTGGGGATATGCCCGCAACCAAGGCACATGCCCTTGACCGGGATCGAACCAAGGACTTTCAGTCCGCAGGCCGACGTTCTATCCACTGAGCCAAACTGGTTTGGGCATGCCTCAAATTCTTATTCTCAGTCTCTTATTGGGCCTGAGCAACTCCACATAGTGTGGCTAGGTGTTTTCCAATTGGGTGGATCAATTATCTCCCCTCCAATTTACGTGGCCTGGATAGCAAATGCTTGCATGAGAAAGATGACACCTCAACACAGGATACCTGGGTGTCTGCCTTCTGAGCTCTAACCCCAGAAACCCTGATCCTGCCTTCTGCTCACACAGCTCCAGTCCACTCTGCTCTCCCTCTGCAGGAGCATAAGGTGAGTGGGTAGCTTCATAGGGAATTTTGTGTGTTGGCCCTTTAAGAGGGTGCCTGAATTTCCAGCCACCTCCCCTGGCAGACAGCAACCCTGCTGCTTTTCACAGCCAGATGTTATGTGGGTACCCTTCTCAGTTCTGGTGTGCTCTCTGCTTGGGGGCCCAGTTTGAGGATTAGACCCCAGAGTTCTCAGTGGCTACCTCCACAGCTGAGATATCTTTCCAGAACTACAGTTGCAACCTGTGGGAGCCTGGCTACCTTTTGTGCCTCTGTCCCTCCTACCAGTTTCTCTCCACTTTTGGTCCTAGGTTATCAGGTTTCTCTCCAGCGAGTCTTCTGTTGATTATTCAGGAAGTGTTTCTGTAATTTAGTTGTAATTCCAGTTAGTTCCTGGGAGCATGTCTGAGCAGCATCCACTTATTCCACGGTCACCATTTTTAATCTCAAAATCTCTTTCCTCTTTACTTTTATTCAGGTTCAAAGATTTCTGGAATGTTTGAAGACTAAATTCCTTTGTTAAGTCTAGTTATCTAATCGAAAGGTATGAATCTCTCTCTGGGATACTGTCTCCAAACATCTGGAGAGACTGGTGCTACAAGCACATATTTCTTACAGCTTCATTTAACCTTCGGGGTCATTTTCGGGTGGTGGTGGTGGTGACAGCGGCCAGAGCTTGTCTCTGCTCCCTGTCTTGCCCAGCAGGGCTGACTACTGACCAATCTGTTTTTTTGTTTTGTTTTGTTTTTTAATATATATTTTATTGATTTTACACAGAGAGGAATTGAGAGGGATAGAGAGTTAGAAACGTCCATGAGAGAGAAACATCGATCAGCTAGCTGCCTCCTGCCCACCCCCGACCGGGGATGTGCCCGCAACCAAGGTACATGCCCCCGACCGGAATCGAACCCGGAACCTTTCAGTCCGCAGGCCGATGCTCTATCCACTGAGCCAAACCGGTTTCGGCCAATCTGGGTTGTTTTAAGCCACTATATTTGTGGTAATTCCTTATACCGTAACAGAAAGTGAATACACTACTGTGGTGGCAAGCTTTGGGACTGTAGTTGAAGCAATGGCTAATTTATTGCAGGTGAGTCTGTACGTAAAAGGGGCTGGGGCGGGGGACTAGAATAGGTGGTAAAGAGAACACACAAAAGCATCTCCTTCAATGCTCAGGTCAGGTCTTCTTTGTCAAAGTTCCTCCAGCCTGAAGGGACTCTTCCCTCCCCAGATATTAATAGACAGAGATGTACTTTATCACTTAACTGATATTCTTCTATTTTATGCTCTAGTGGCTTTTTGAACCTAATTGATTTTGTGTCCTCCACGGTACCTTGCACATACAGAAGTGAATAGTACTGATTGGCTAAAGAAGGTGTATTGTCTTGATGAGTAAGTTCTTCAAATTACACGCTCTAGCTGAAGCCGGTTTGGCTCAGCGGTAGAGCATTGGTCTGTTGACTGAAAGGTCCCAGGTTCGATTCCCATCAAAGGGATGTACATTGGTTGCGGGCACATCCCCGGTAGGGGGTGTGTAAGAGGCAACTGGTCTAGCTCTCTATCTCTCTCCCTTCCTCTCTGAAAAAAAAATCAATAAAAATATATATTTTTAAAAATTACACGCTCTAGGTGCTATTCCTGGAAGGAAACGAGATGGTTCTTGAAACTCCAACAGGGGCTTTTCCTTATTATCCACTGTGAGCCCCACCACCCAGATTTCCACAGCAGCAAAATGTGTCATAACATTCTCCAACTCTTCTCTCAGGATAAGGACCACAAATATGGATAACCCAAATAGCCTGCCTGACTGGGAACATCACCTGGCATTAAACCACAGTTTAACTTAATTAGCTAGCACCTATTAATCAATATGGCCTAAACATCTGCCAGTGGAATCTGAGAAGTCTGTTCTAAAAGAAAAGCTGAGTTTACTCACCACAGATGGGGCGCTTGTGAGGAGGTGAGAGAGGGAATGCTTTGCCAGTTAAATGAAATTAAGAGAAGAGGCTGGTGCCCAATTTCCAGGAGAGTTTGTGTACTGTATGTGATTGAAAAAAAATCATTATTAGGAATTTTCTCTGTGCTCATATCCATTATTAACAGTTTGTGAATGTCTCAAAGAAACTGAAGCAGAACTTAAAGGACTTGGGTATTTTTTAATGTGGTCACATGGCTAGGTAATATAAACGTTTTGAACAATGTAACTGACTTTGCTTCCTAATCAAGGATTTTTTTCCCTGAAACAAAAAGGCTCTGAGAAATCCAAGTTGTTGCCTCCCTTGGTTTATAATAATTTCTTCTTTAAAAATACGTTTATTGATTTCAGAGAGGAAGGAAGAAGGAGCGAGAGAGATAGAAACATCAACGATGAGAGAGAATCATTGATTGGCTGCCTCCTGCACACCCCATACTGGGACTGAGCCCACAACCTGGGCATGTGCCCTTGACCGGAATCAAACCTGGGACCCTTCAGTCCACAAGCTGACACTCTATCCAATGAGCCAAACTGGCTAGGGTGGTTTATAATGATTTCTTGCTGATCTGGCAAGTTACCAGAACAAGAGAAGAGGCATAAATACTAATCTGACAAAATGTCTACATAGTAGACTTGAAACTGCAGGAGGATCATAAGAGCTAATTTGTTAAGGAACTTGTGAGGGCAATTGCAATTCAACCTAGAGGTGTGGTTTAGGTAGATAAGCAAGTGAATTCATTTATCATTGTTGCACTGCCTTGAGCTAAATGAAATCATCAATTCTGAGGATTTGCAAAGCTATTTGATGGAAATGAAGTCCCAACTCAGAAAAAAGTCATGAATTTTGAGGAATATGAATCACCCTTAATATTGTTATGGTTGCCTTTGGAGTGCAAATTCTCAGCATGTCAGTGAGTTCGGAAGCAGTCTGCCTTAATACTGTGGGCAGAATTATCTAAATACCAAAATGATTTTGAAGTTTTGGGCTGAATGACCGAAATCTCAGATGTGTGCCTTCGTTTGGCCAGTGAAAGGACCAGTCTTTCTTTCAAGTACTTCAATCAATGGCTGAAATCAGAATTAAGACGTGTGCAAATATGAACCTTTACTCCCCGTTGTTTTGAACAGTTCAGTCTTTGAAATATAATCAATTTTATATTGACTTGCTCTCTCAGGCTTGTAACTGTCCGTTTTTGTAGGAATCAAGTTGATTAAACTTTTGCAGATTCCTTTGGCATTCATGTTATCGTCTACATTCTCGGCTGAGTAAATAGACTAGACCGCTTTGGCCAAAATGTATTAGTCACGTGAATTGCTTCTTAACCTCCGCCTCACGGTGAAAAAACTTGGGCTCTCCTGCAGCACACAGTGCCCTAACCCCTAGCCGAAACGAAAGGGTTACTCCATGGCGCCCTGGATACAATCTCGTTTGTCGCAATGGACCCCGCGCGGAAGGTTACCCGGGCTCTCACAGTCCAGCTGAAGGTGCGCTGCCGCCCGCTCCTTCCGCGCTGGCACTTGATTGTAACCAGAAAGTAGTTCCGGCCCGTGTTGTTTCGGTGGAGGAGCCGTCGCCGCCATTTCAAGACCGTGAGAGTAGATGGCTAGGCAGAGTTCCTAAGGTTCGGAGACTGGAAGTGCTGCCTCCGCTCGAGCCTCCCAGAGCACCGGTGCGGGAGCTGCTCCCTCACTCCTACCTCTAGAAACCTCGTAAGCAGTGGTGGCATTGCGGGACTCAGTCACACCCTGCTCGCTCTCCAGAAGCTCCAGATGGCGTCTTCCGTGGGCAACGTGGCCGACAGCACAGGTACCGGTGTCCGTCCTACCTCGGCAGACGCCCTGTTGTTGTCCTGCGCCGTTCTCTGCCTCTCATCCCCTCCCTTCCCTCCAGCCATCCCCATGACATCAGTGCATTGCCGAGCTTGCCATCGCTTACCGGCACCTAATGGGGGTTTCCGCTGTCTGCTCCGCAAACATTTCCTCTCGCTTCCCCTGCTCTTTGCTTCCTTTCTTGCTTTTCAGGCTCACAAAGGTCCTAACTTTCCGCTGTGTCGGGACGCTCCTGTCGGCCGTGCACGCTTAGAATATTTCGGAATGGACCGCGTTTGGAATCCCCGTCCTTTCCCTCCCCGTCGCTACCGTTTTCTTCCCACATTTAGCTCACGGCCCTGCCTCTTCCCCCTTTTCACAGCCCTCTTCGCCCCCCCCTGCCGCCCTTTCTCCTTAGCCCGATTTGGTTCTCTTGTCAATCAATGGCGGGGGTGCTGTTCTGTGTAATCACACCCTCACTTTGCATCACCCGAGGATGAGCAAAAGCTGCCCGGCGTGCTGCGCGTCACCTCGAGAAGAGGGACATGGAAAGCACCCCGCGGCAGTGCCCTCCTGGTGTTCTTTCAGTCGAGCAGCCCCGATTTAGATTGGAAATTTCCAGGGGTTCCTTTTGCCAGCGCGCAATTCCACCAGCTGCCCCGGCCTGGATTTCCCACTCCGCGGGTCCCCCCCCCCTCCCGCGGGGAGCCACACCCTTTCCACCCCGCGCCCGCTTCCTACCCCGGGGACCCCCGGGGAGAAACCCCCCGGGGCCGGCTCTCTGGCGATGACCACCCCGCGGGCCGAATTCTCGCTTTGTGTTACTTTCTCCGTGTATTCCTCCGCCGCCGCCTCTGGCTCTTCCATTCCCATTCTTGAGCTCGGTACCTCTTTATTCATAGGGTGCGTGTTTTTTTTTAAGTTTTCATCCTGCTTGAAGAGTTTGTAAAGCAACTGGAGTGTTAGCTGCACAAGTGCAAAGCGGTTGCCCTTCTCGACAATTCAGTCGAGTGCATTTGGTTCTAAAAATAAGAAAACAACCAAATTATAGGAGTGTCCTTCAGCTGCCTTTCCCTATTGAGGCTGTTTGGGGCGGGCGGGGAGGGTGTGGGGATTGGGCTACAGTTAGAAGCTTTTCCATGAGGTTCTTTTTTATTTGTGTGGTTTTCTGTTTTTCTCAATTGAGATCTGTCCAGGACTTTATATATTTATTGTGTTTGTAGGTAGTGAAATTAATAGTGTTCCCCTCCCTCCCAGGGATTTTTAAGATTTCGGGTTGTGCTGGTTTGCCCTTTTTAATGTGTGTTATTTTATTTGAGGGAGTTATCATTTTCAGTGTTAAATAAGTGGCTTTGAAAAGTTGATAATTGTTGAAATAAGGAGCTGAGACTGAAATGTAATTTTCTAGTTTTGTTAGAGCTATAAGCTCCTCCAGATTTGGATGCAAGTTTCTGGTTTGTGTTGTGGTCAGCTGTATATTCTTTCTCTTCAGGAAATTGATTTTGCTTTCCTGTTTACAGATCACTTGTCAGCTCTAATCATTGGGAGAGCTTGTCTCTAATTTGAACTGGTTACTGTGACCTTGGTAGTATTTAAAGAATTTGTAAATGGTTTCCTATTGTAACCATCTAGTGAAATTCCAGCAATATGTCACTGTTTAAATTAAAGTATTAAGTTGAGACTTAGATGTTTTTTGTTTTGTTTGTTTTTTATCATCGTCTGGGCTTTATCATTATATGTCTGAATCCAGTCACTTAGACAGAGCAAAGTGCTTTAATTTATTATTCATTCTGTTGCACTTTGTCAAATGGTTTTATATTTTGTTTTCCCATTCTTTAAAAAAAAATCATTGCAGTGTTAGGTAACTACTTGATTTATATAGGGTTTTTTTGCAATGTATTAATCCTTTAATGTCAGGGCTTTTTGGAAAATGCCAGAGTTAAATCAGCGTGGATGGGATTTAGCTAATTTGGTTTCATCACGAGTATGGAATGGTAGAGGAGCAATATAATCTTGGTTTCTTTATTTAAAATGTTTGATGGCCCCTTTAAATATATTTGCTCTTGACAAATGAATTCCTCTTGTTTATGAGCTGTTTTAAAAATAGCACCTTGACTTTTAAGTTTTTCCCCCCCTTATGCTTGTTTCTAGTATTGCCCTTAATTTAAACAAATTAAGTTGTGAAGTATACAAAAACGTCAATAAAACTGTGAGTTTAAAACACATCTTGTGTCCCCCACCAAGTTAAGAGATAGAATGTTAGCAATACTACCTCCTCCCTGAAATCCCACCTAAAAAGTATTAAGTTTCCCAGTATGTTATTCTGACATTATTAAACGGTTGTGACCTTGCAAATCATGTTTTGTATTTGTTTCTATATGTTAACTGTAAGGAATAATGTTTAGTGAATCTTTAGATGCTATTTCTGATTTGTAACTTAAAAATGCAAAGTATTTATACCCGTAAAGTTTAATCTTACTTGGAAGCAAATATTTCTATGCACTCTGGGAAAGAAAGTTAATAGATCAATTCTAAAATGTCACTTCTGCACCTGATGTTAATTCGGGAGTATAAATAATGTGCAGAACACTCTAGTGCTTTACATAGTTTCAAGCGTTTTCATCTTTAAGTTTAAAAGACCATATTTTTACATTTTTTGTTTGCATTTCTAACTTTTTGTTTTCCCCCCTCCTTCCCTCAAATGTTTTGATGATTCTCCAGAACCAACGAAACGTATGCTTTCCTTCCAAGGGTTAGCTGAGTTGGCACATCGAGAATATCAGGCAGGAGATTTTGAGGCAGCTGAGAGACACTGCATGCAGCTCTGGAGACAAGAGCCAGACAATACTGGTGTGCTTTTATTACTTTCGTCTATACACTTCCAGTGTCGAAGGCTGGACAGGTAGGAGATGTGGGGGTACCTTCTGGTGATTGCTGCCTGTAGGTTCTGAGCTTGAAAAATAATACTTAAATATTTGAACTTAAAATGTGTCCAATACTGGGTTTCAACTGAACCACCAACGCACATCTGTCTTGTCCACTTGTGACATGCTCAGCTGCCAGTTTTTCTCCCTCCTTTTGTGGTGGTGGCTATATTATCAGTATGACTACAGACCTTTTCTAGATTTTTCCACCTAACTCTGCTGCTTTCTTAACCCTGTTCAAGTAATAAATATTCTTAGTATACATCTGACCTTCAACTTTGTAAGAGGTATCATCTTGAGGGACAGAATACTACTCAGAAATGATGGTGTATATGCTGTGGTAGGAGGTTATTAGTTGTAAAGACAGTCATTAAGTTATGATATGCTACTTTAGATAATCAGTTGAAATAATCAGTTCTTATGTTCTTTTAATAAGTTGTCATTCTGGTTTATTTAGACATTAAAAGATGTGTACCAACAAATGGAAAGTGAGACTCATGCACATAGCATTTTCATACTTGATCTCTTAATGATCATGGTTTTACAATTCAGTTTGGTAATAAGACTCTAGTAAGAATTTTATCTTATAAGGAACAACAGCATTCCAATTTGAAATCTGGAATACCTTCACTTTTGCAAAAAGTTGATTTCCAAAAATTTTCCTGTGTGCTAGTTTAAAGATAATATTTTTATTACATAACTAGCAATAGCACAGGGTCTTCAAAAACTGTTGTTTTTTTTTTGAGTTGTGTATGGGCCATACCTTCTTTCTCTAACATGCATACCCCTGCATCAATACTTTTCGCCTTTTTCAGATCTGCTCATTTTAGCACTCTGGCAATTAAACAGAACCCCCTTCTGGCTGAAGCCTATTCGAATTTGGGGAATGTGTACAAGGAAAGAGGACAGTTGCAGGAAGCAATTGAGCATTACCGGCATGCATTGCGCCTCAAGCCCGATTTCATCGATGGTTATATTAACCTGGCAGCCGCATTGGTAGCAGCAGGTGACATGGAAGGGGCAGTACAAGCTTACGTATCTGCTCTTCAGTACAATCCTGTGAGTACAATTTTAACAGTTATTATTTTCCCTTCACAAAAGCACAGAAAGAAATACTGTTTGATATCTCAGACACTAACTTAGGTTTTTATGTGTGTGGAATAAAATCAAGAGTTTAGAAATGTCTGCTCAGAATGGTGAAATTGCTTTGATCAGATCTGCGTCATGTTTTAAAAAATTTGTTTTATCTAGCAAATTATATTACAAAGCATAAAATTATCCCTATTGCAAGAAATTCTATTTTTATAGTGCCTGTAATAGTACAGAACATATGACATTGTTTTTGGGGTTGTTTTGATTAAATTTGGATAATAGGTGTTTTCGACAGTTAATTGGTTTTCAAGGAATAGTGAATGAAGGGTTTTAATCTGTAATATAAAATAGTTACAACAAGATGCCAATATATGGATCAGTGATATGAAAACTAGGCTGCAAAATTCGTTCCTCAATATCCTATACTCTTTTCTTTCAGCACAATAAGAAGTGGTAGAGTTGAGGTGATAGTGTACATCCCAGGCTTTTGAATAGTTCTTAAATTCTCAAAAAAAAAAAAATTGCAGGTGTTTTCTAGGGACACAAGAGTAAGACTTGCCCTCAGAACTTTGGATGTGGTTAGGGGTAGAAGATAGATAGAAACTTAAGAGGTAAGTGATAAAGAGAGGAATGGAAGGAATCCAGAAAATTTTAAGAATACATTTCCAAGCTATGTTGTCAGCATTTAGTTTAGCAGCAACCCTGGGAATGGTTTATAATGAACTGTTATAGCTACCATTTATTGAAATTCTACTCTGTGCTCAAGACACTGCCAATTACTTCAGACATCAGACATTGTTGATCTTACATAATGCTCACAGTGAGTGTTCAAAATAGGTTATGTTCAATTTTACCAATTTAAGAAATCCAGACTTGGGTTATGCAATTTTGGGGGAATTACACAGCTGGTAGTGGTGAAGGAATATTAAAACCTGAGCCTGAATAAAGCAGACATTCAAGAGAGAAGAAATAAAAGATAAAAAGGGAATGATGTGCCCAGAGGGCATGCACCCCGCAAGGCAGCCCCAGTTGAGGATAGTTTGAAATTCATTGATTATATCCTGCTCTCCCTTAACCCCTATTTTACAGGTTAGGAAACTGAAGCTTGATTTAGTAGTTTGCACAAAAATCTGAAATCACTTTTTCTCATGACATCTATTCAGTTATTTTTTCAGTTTATTTTGAGAGTGTAAAATTACATTTTTTTTTATTCGCCCAGCTGGTGTTAGTGGTTGAGCGTTGACCTATGAACCAGGTCACAGTTCAGTCAGGGCACATGCTGGAGTCATGGGCTCAGTGTTGTTCAGTAGTCAGCTGTTCAATGATTCTTATTGATGTTTTTCTCTCACTCCCCCTTTCCTTCCTCTTTGAAATCAATAAAAATATGTCTTAAAAATCCATTGCTTTTTTTGTATGGATACAGTGAAGTCTCTCAGCCCTCCCTTCTTGGAGGTAGCCAATGAAACCAATTTCTTACATATTCTTTCAGAGATATTCAACGCATATATATGTAAATTTGAATGCATTTTGTAATTTTTTAAAAGGATAATTCGCATTTTATTTGTCTGCCTTTGACACGTACAAAAACTCTCAGCCCCCACCCCCTTCATTTTGTAATTTTTATTACAGTACTATCCAGCTAGTTACCCACCAAAAATGTTGGAGAACCCTGTTGTATATGCTGCCACTGAGGCTTGGACCCTGTTCTTGCCAAGGCTCAGAGCTCACTTGGGCACCTCGTTGTCACAGTTAAGTTCTTTATTAATCAGGGTTGGTTTCACCCTTCACTTGTTTATTGAGTGTAAGCTCACGTGTGCCCTCTACACAGCTGTGGCTCCAAACATCTTGAACTTTGATCTCCTTGGCTCCAGTTTCCAGTTACCTAAGTGTGTAGCAGAGCTTTGCTGCTCACAGAATACTAGACTGGAGTATGACGAGGAGGGAAAACTGAAGTGGGAGACAGAACCATGCTTTTCAATATCGAACTTGTTAATAGGGAGCTTATCATTATGCCCTTCCAAAGAAGTAAGATATAGCATTAAGTCATGGGACTGCCCATTGAAGGATTGAAGGGGAAGGCATTGAATAGTTAAGCATCCCCATCTGGTCCAGTTTCTACTAGTGGGAAGTGTTGCTTTATTTCTGTCTTTGCCAGAAAGAATGAAAAAGAGATTGTGCAAAAATGCCTTGATTTCACCTAAATATACCATAGTGATCGTGTTTTAATGCATTTCAAGATATCTAGTCTCAACTAGATTTACTGTCAAATGCCTTTGTCATTTCAGTACTGACAGAACCTTGAGTCTCTTCCTAAATTGTGTTCTTGTTGGCAGTGCATTGTTGGCCTGAGTCATAGATGTATTTGGCATTCTATGGAAAATATTTGAAGAAACTCAGGTTATTTTGGTTTTGCAAAAGTAAAATGTTAAAAGTAGTAATCTTGGTAACTTGTTTTCAGCAGTGCTTACCTTTTTTTTAATTTTAATTTTGGTTAATTCACACCTGAGGGTATTTTTCCATACTTTTTAAATTTAAAAATTAAAATATATATATATATATATTGATTTTTTTTTACAGAGAGGAAGGGAGGGAGAGAGAGAGCTAGAAACGTCGATGAGAGAGAAACATTGACTGGCTGCCTCTTGCACAACCCCCGCCGGGGATGTGCCGCAACCAACATACATGCCCTTGACCGGAATCGAACCCGGGACCTTTCAGTCCGCAGACTGATGCTCTACCACTGAGCCAAACCGGTTTTGGCTTAAATTTTAATTTTATTTAAAAAATATATTTTATTGATTTCAGAGAGGAAGGGAGAGGGAGAGAGAGAGAGAACCACCAGTGATGAAAGAGAATCGTTGATTGATTGCCTCCTTGCGTGCCCCCTAATGAGGATTGAGCCCACAAGCCGGGCATGTACACTTGACTGGAATTGAACCAACTGTTCTATACACTGAGCCAAACCAGGTAGGGCTTCATTGCTTTTATTAGAGAGTAGAAGGGAGGGAGAAATGGAGGGAGAGATGGGGAGAGTGATAGAGGGGCGGGGGGGTGGAGAAACAAAGAAACATCGATGTGAGAGACACATCAATTGGTTGCCTACCACATGCAGCTCTGAGACCTGGCCTGGGATTGAACCTGCAACCCAGGTATGTGCCCTCAACCTGGAATTGAACCTAAAAAACCCTTTGTTTTAAGGGTTGACACTCTTAACCACTGAGAACACCGGCCAGGGCAGTGTTTATCTTTTTAAGTTAATGGTATATCTGTTTAGAAGTTATTATGTGACTTGATTATAGAAATTAGTTTTAAGAAAGCCGTTTTATATTTTTACAGTTTGAATTATCTCTTGTAATGTTGGATGATTGAATAATTTCACTAAAATTTTAGTCTGTTGTATATGAAGGTGCTATTGTATTATAGCTGATGACTTTTCACATGATGGCTCATTAAAGCTGCCCATACCCTGTGATCCTTTTTATGAATTATGTGTAAAATTGTCCGTTGTAACGTGACTATCTATAATCTTCAGTTGCTCTAAGTAGCTGTTTGAGTCTATTGGTTGTTAAACCATTGCTGCTTATTTGATTGTGGATGCATAACACCGAGAGCTACAAGCATACTGACCATCATATGTTACTATCATGTTAACTTTACTGTTGCTAGCTACACTGTAGCAAACTATATATTTCTATTCCTCTCTGCTCTGCTGTTTAAATTTGCCATGCAAGTGTCATATTTAAACAGCAGTGTGGTGCATGTCAGAGGATTGGGGGGGAGGGGTGAAGGGGAACTAATATATGATGATGGAAGATGATTTGACTTGGGTGGTGGGTGGAACACAGATTTTGTAATATAGAAATCTGCACCTGAAACTTATATGATCCCATTAACCAATGTCACTCCAATAAATTTAATTAAAAAATGAAAAATTTGAGTGCTTATTGTTTGTACAATGCTTTGTTAGGAATTGGGGAGATGTGTTGCGGGAAAGTTGTGGATTATACTATAAGAGAATATCTGACCCATAAAAGATAAAAGGTGTGAGCTCCTTGGATGATTATCATTAGAGAGTACTAATCAGAAGATTTTCTTGAGTGGGTGCTTAATCCTAAGCATTCTGTAGGAAGGAAGGTAAAATAGCAGTAGACTTCCTTAGCTGAGGTGGTGAGTCGGATATAACGAAGTGAGTGAGGTAGAGGAAAGTCAATTGGAAGATTTATAATGAGTAGAGAGGCTGAGGAGTTTGAATTTAATTTGATAGGCAGTTGAGAACTGTGGATTTTTATCAGCCTGATTTTACTTCATGTGTATATGTGTATATAAATGGTGGGGGTGGAGTGGGGTCCTAGGAGGAAATAGATGCTATCTTAGGAGGCGTGGATATGCAGGACATTTTTACTCATTTCCATCTCCTTAACATTCATACTATTACATTTTCCCTTGATACAGTGCTCTCCTCCTTTGTCCATTAAAGTCCTACTCATTCATCCTTTAAGGCCCAGCTTAGATTTCTTTTTGAATTCATTTACTTCTCTAAAATTCTTTATCATCTTGTGGGTGTTTAATATGCCTTGTCTTTCCATATAAGATTGCAATCCTGTCTAGGGTAAAGATTCTATTTTATTTTCCCTACAATTCCAGGCATATTATTGAATTGAATAAAGGTTTGCATAAGAGATAATAACCTGGGAATGGATAGAATTGGCTGGGTCTGAGAAATGTATTCTTTTAGCAGACACTTTTGATTTAATAAATGAAGCAGAATTGATGTCTTAGATTTTAAACATTTTGGAGAATAGTGGTATCCTTGACTTTTCTAGAAATTAACTGTTCTTGCATAAGGTTTAGATCCTCAAATCGGAGTATCAGATTTCGCTGTTATATTTAATATGATATGTTTTACCTTTTTCTAAAACTGCCTTATAGTAATCTTGAAGATAATCTATTTTTAACTATGATTACTG